ATTCGCACCGTAGCTACAAAGATTTGATGAGCTAGGATTTCGTTTGAGTTTCACTGCTGTTGAAAACAATTATCTTTGCTAAACTATAAAATCCCAATGAAAAAAAAAACAGAACAAAATAATTTAGATAAATTATACTCTAAATTCTACCTTAAATTTTGCCAAAACTGAAATAGAATGAGTGTTGGTATCCCTGCAGTAAAGCGATAAACTCCCTCAAAGCTGAGGTGAGGTGCCTGTGGCATTTACCGCAATGCATCAACTGCAAGGTTCATTGCAGCTGTGGTTTGTCAGTACTTGTATCACTAATTAATTGAGTACTAAACTGATAACAACTGTGATAAAATTGTAAACAAAAATAATTGGAGTCTGTTTATTAAATTATTTTTACTCAATTAAAACTAAACACCATGTGAAATCGTGCGATGATTTAAAAAATATGAGGTAGAAAGTTCATCATGATACAGTTTTGATGAAACATTTTCCCAACGTGTTATAGTTAATGTTGTCTAAAATTTTCAGTGTGACGAAAACGTCACCTTTCAACCCAAAGAGAACCACAAACCATGCTAGTGTTCTTTGTAATACCAGCTGGTAGTATTATATGATTAAGTACATAATGCAAACATTGGTTACCATATGTGTGGATTAAGCATGCATGAGTAAAATGGGGTTTACAAATTAATTTGATAACTTTATATATAAACAAAACTAGGGGGTCGGGCCGTTAAAAAAATAATAATAAGGGCTAATAGAGTAGATAAATATACAAAAATGTGAGATCTTTGCCTAAAAATCCCACAGTCTTTCGTGGGGAACATGTGTTGGGACATGGAGCACAACGTCACTTATTCATCAAAGTGCAAAGTATATATCTCTGGTAAAAGGAATTGGATAAAATGCAAACAGACCTATAAATGAAAAATGCTATACGGTCTACAGAAATATTTCAAAAGGTCAGCAAGACATGGCCTTCTCTTATTCCAGCAAATTTATTGTTTGAGTTGAACGATTTGAAAACTATCGACATCTAAAAAAACCAAAAGGGCTATCTGAGTTATATTTAGGAACAATCCCGTGACAAAATCTCTAACCCTTATCTTTTTAAATCGTTTGCCACTTCCGATTAACATATAGAAATTGATTGACGAAGAAACAAATTTTAATTTTGTTTTTCAAGATTTGGCAACCATAGAAAGGAACAGTAAAGCACTCTCAAAAGATTAAATTATACAATAATTAATTTCAAAGTCACATTGATTTTCCAACCGGACTAAGAAAACAGATGATTTACGTTTTCATCAAGTTGATCTAAGTATTGAAACATTTTGTTACTGTTTTGTACTAACAGTCCTAAAATAGTTATCTCAATTTATTATTCCATAAACATTTTGATGAATTGACGAACTTGGCTGATACAAAACAAAAAAATAAGTCTCTAGTTATAAAAGAAAAGATTCATTTAAAACAGAGAAGGATTACTGTGAAAAGTTGGAAAACAAGAAGACATTGATCGGATTGTTTACAGTTGTAATAACATTTTATCACTTTTGAAGAGATTAAATTAAAACAATTTCAACGACTACCAGCATTACTTTGAATATTAAATTAATAATAAGCACATTTAAGGAATTGGTTTTTTGAATGTGTTATCATAATTGACTTGAGGGTTTTAAGGTGCAATGTTTTCTTGAGAAATCTCTTTTCAGTTAGTTAATAACTGTTCACAATTAGGTATTTCAAATTTATCACGTAGGCCTAATATTATCATGTATTATATACGACGTATTTAAAGGACACTTTAATCACACACAGAACAAATATATTGCGCCCTAGTTAAATCAGAATTCTAATTACAAATTAATTAAGGTATTTTAAAATTGTGCATAAATGAGTATGCACTTATAACTTGACAAATATTTACGATTCGTCTGTTTGCTTTTGAAATGAAAATTTAAAAAAAAATATTGTTATCACTATTGATATTTTATTATATTAAAAATAACATTTTATATTTTATGTTTTATATTTTTGAGTTTTGTGTTTTGTATTTTGTATTTTGTGTTGTATTTTGTATTTTTTTTATTTTGTACATTTTGCATTTTGTATTTTGTACATTTTGTATTTTGTATTTTGTATTTTGTATTTTGTATTTTGTATTTTGTATTTTGTATTTTGTATTTTGTATTTTGTATTTTGTATTTTGTATTTTGTATTTTGTATTTTGTATTTTGTATTTTGTATTTTGTATTTTGTATTTGGTATTTGGTATTTGGTATTTTGTATTTTGTATTTATATTTTGTATTTTGTATTTTGCATTTTGCATTTTACATTTTGTATTTTGTATTCTGTATTCTGTATTTTGTATTTTGTATTTTGTATTTTGTATTTTTCATTTTGTATTTTGTATTTTGTATTTTGTATTTTGTATTTTGTATTTTGTATTTTGTATTTTGTATTTTGTATTTTGTATTTTGTATTTTGTATTTTGTATTTTGTATTTTGTATTTTGTATTTTGTATTTTGTATTTTGTATTTTGTATTTTGTATTTTGTATTTTGTATTTTGTATTTTGTATTTTGTATTTTGTATTTTGTATTTTGTATTTTGTATTTTGTATTTTGTATTTTGTATTTTGTATTTTGTATTTTGTATTTTGTATTTTGTATTTTGTATTTTGTATTTTGTATTTTGTATTTTGTATTTTGTATTTTGTATTTTGTATTTTGTATTTTGTATTTTGTATTTTGTATTTTGTATTTTGTATTTTGTATTTTGTATTTTGTATTTTGTATTTTGTATTTTGTATTTTGTATTTTGTATTTTGTATTTTGTATTTTGTATTTTGTATTTTGTATTTTGTATTTTGTATTTTGTATTTTGTATTTTGTATTTTGTATTTTGTATTTTGTATTTTGTATTTTGTATTTTGTATTTTGTATTTTGTATTTTGTATTTTGTATTTTGTATTTTGTATTTTGTATTTTGTATTTTGTATTTTGTATTTTGTATTTTGTATTTTGTATTTTGTATTTTGTATTTTGTATTTTGTATTTTGTATTTTGTATTTTGTATTTTGTATTTTGTATTTTGTATTTTGTATTTTGTATTTTGTATTTTGTATTTTGTATTTTGTATTTTGTATTTTGTATTTTGTATTTTGTATTTTGTATTTTGTATTTTGTATTTTGTATTTTGTATTTTGTATTTTGTATTTTGTATTTTGTATTTTGTATTTTGTATTTTGTATTTTGTATTTTGTATTTTGTATTTTGTATCTTTATTTTTTATTTTTTATTATTATTTATATTTTATATTTTAAAATGTAATGTTGTACGTACTGTACTAACACGCCCAAGTGGGTACAAGTGGTACCTCTATGGTACCCTAATATTCACTTATTGTTTCAAAACTACTTTTAAAAACTGAATTAAGATTGGAAATATTATAGCAAGGAAACTTCTCTTGTCATTAAGTTAAGAGTTATTGAGGTTTAATCAAAATATCACCCATATGGTCCAAAATAATAATCCGTGTATGTTAACGCATACCCGTATTCAAAATCTGATTGTTATGTTTAGCCATCTCAACATCTTAAGTGACATTGCATCGACAATTGGCTATAAACATAAGTAAAGTTTCTGGGGTAAACAATTGTTACACGATTATGATATTAAGAGCAGCACACGTATGGGTATGGTATGGGACTCGGCTCTACAATACCCAACAAATGCACAACAACCCAACAGACCAGCATGAATCATACACCCACTGCGGGGCTTTTAAACATTTTGTTTCGTTCAATAATACAAGCATCAAGCTGTGCTTACACAAGCAAGCTATCCGTGTCCTAGGCTGGGTAGGTTCGTGCCAGCTGGTCGTAGTCACCCTTCCCCATAAACAACCCCCTCATCCCCATAATGCAATATTATGACGACCTTGTGCATGGGCTTTATGACTAGTCCCAACGCTGCATGCAACAATCATTCTGCATAATGTGCAACTGAAAAGTAGTTAGATATAATTTTAGGATCACGTAATCAACACTCAACATTTACAACTTATGGCAGGTGTAGAAATTACAACAAGAAACATATGTTACAAGGTTTTGGTTCGAATTCTGCCAATTACCAATCGATTTGGGCAAAGCCATAGAATCTATAGTCTGGGAAGCATGAGGAGCATAAAGAAGAAAGTGCAATAAAATATGTTGTACGAGCATATTTTGTACTAGTAATACCGTATAGCAAATCAAAGATATTACAAAGCTTACAAATTATAAAATATTTACCTGTTCAACAGAGACTGCGAAGTATGCTTGTTCCGCACCAAAAGGGATTTTACGATGATGTTGTGTGTGAGATAGAATAGGTCAATACCATCAAGAGGTTTTACGATCAGTATAAAGCAAGATTTATAAAAGCGATGTTTTATTAACTTTTCAACGTCCTCGGAGAGTATGATTGACAACTGACACAAAATAAAACTCACACTTCCTGCATGTTGTTATGTATAACTTTAGATTTCCACGTCATTTTAGATAGTTTGTTAAACCAAGCTATTATTTTGGGTTGCTAATGTGTATTAACAACACTCTTTTATAACCTTTATTTGTAAAATAGCAATCAGTTGAAGCAATTGTCAATACAAATAGTTTTACTACAACTACGAAGTCTAGGCCAGACTTACATAATGTAACAGAGTATTTAAAATATATTCGATTGTATTTTTAATAATACATTTTCTTCGGTCAGAAATTATTATAATGGTAAAAAAAAGAAAAATTTTTAACGGCCTCGTCATATTTTTAGAAAGTTTGAATAATCCGGTCTGGATGACCTACCTTACATTTTTTTAAATATTAAATACTATAAAAAAGGTGTAAGAAACTGGTGCAATACACCTCATATTCTTAAAACAATCTTTCTAACTCTGTTTTTAAAATATCGGTTTGTTTCACTACTTTAAAAGACATGACTGGAGACTTACACAAACAAAATCGTAGTAAAATTGCTTTATTATATGTCACAGAAGTTAGTAGTTTACTTTATACATAGTTACACAGCCAAATAAATAATGAGTTCATAGTCGTCACAGACAATTCACGTACGAACAGCCGTATAAAGAATGTAGAAACTACATACAACACACACTATACTCGTACGAAAAATAGATCAACATTTAAAAGATCTGTTAGGCCTAGTGAGGAACAGAAGCAATGTGTCTCTAGCACCGTTCTAAGGAGTATCTCCTTAGAAGTCCGACAATCATCTAACCTCTTGAGGTTCAGGTTCTGAGAAATTCATGGAGACAGATCGAACGTGGGGTTTCAGCCCGAAGCTGGACGGGGAGGCCTGCACGTCACTAGGGGAGGCTGATCGAGCTGTGTTGTTCATAGGGGAGAGAGATCTGTTGGTGGATGGAGCGACGCGAGCTGCACGATTGTTGTCTATCAGCGGTGTCTGAGGAGCAGACCGCTGGATCAGCTGTAGGCTTGACAGAAGTCCCTGGTTGAGCAGTTTCGGGTCCACGCTGAGTTGGCGAATGTTCTGGTAGCTGCGGGTGTCCGCTGGTTGGCTGACTTGGCGACTGGGGCGAGAGGTGTTGTGTCGCCTCACAGTGCTGGGCGTCGTCTGCTGCGACATGCGGAAACTGCGGAAGTTGACCAGTCCCGACCTCGGCGACAAGGTCGACTCGAACACCCCGCGGGACGAGGAGTGGTGCGACTTGGTGCGGCTCAGACCACCACCCTCTGGCAAACAGATGTCATGTTAATACCAATACACTCCATGAATAACATGAATGTATTCTTAAGATTATGCCTTGAGTAACATGACTATCCACATATCTGGGCAAACATTAAGTATCTCTCCATGCTTTTAGGCACACAAGTCTTAACCTATGATTTTTTTTACTGTATCTACAACCTTTGAATACAAATCTCATGTGGATTTGCCTAAACCCTCTGACAAAGAATTGTTTTTGCTGCTATATCTTAATTCCTTCAAGGAACGTGAATATGTCTATGTCTCTTGGCAAACAATTTTCATGGGAATATGAGAATAATCGGGAATAATTTACCTTATCTGGCTAGCAAATTTCATGTGAAAATCTTAAAATCAAAGTTATATCAAAGTTCCGGAAAAGCTATAAATTTAAACAACATTATCTGTCAATACTATTTCTCGAAAGGCTTTTTCCGCTCTTACTAAAAAGACCTGGCACATACCTAGTCAGAGAGGAGTTTCTTCAAAATTTGTATCCATAGCACAATAAACTGCAAAGTCATACAAAAATATACTTTGTCCGAAATGAATAGTTATTGAAACATAATTTTACATACTAATGCTACTTGAAACCGGAGTCTCAGTTTAAATGAATCAATTTTACAAGATTATTTAACACTAATAGCTTTAAGTCTAAAATACGTTTCTAAACACCAATCCCCTTGAAAAATTAACTTTAAATTTAGTACATTAAATTATAAATATTTCAAAAATAGTGCTACTCAACCAAACATGTTAATAAAGCCAAGTGGAATCCCCAACACCGCTATTAAAGAAGAAAACAGTTTGAAATAAGGAAAACCATAACCCAAAGCAAAGAAATTGTGAAGTTATCTTTTACTGCCAAATCCCACTACATCTTACCTGATAAAATTTACCAGTAAGTTTAAATTCACGCAATCGCTTCTTGAGTTAGCCTCTCCCTAGAAGAGTCATTTTTCAACGGCTTTTCTGTTGGTTTCAACAAAGACAGACAATTTTTTAGGTTTAAGAGAGAGAAACTGTGCCAAAGCGAGTGCCACAGCTAGCTACGTGCTGTTTGAATAATAACCCTCCTAATGTTGGGCGGGTAGAATAGAATTTGAAAACCGTTTACTTTACATTTACACAAATCTACTTTCGAAGAACATTTACAATGATTCATTATAAATAAGTGAATACTACAGGTGAACTTCATAATTAAATAAAACCACTAAGTGAGGCTGTTCAAAATTATTATGTACATAATCGGTTTTATACTATCTAGTTGACCTATTTATATTTTAAAATGGTTGAAAATATTGCTTACTTCTAGTAAATCTAATAACGTTTTGCACGATAAAATCTAAGGTTTTTGTTGTCTCTAAGTTGATAGAAAATTCATCACCATGCACCTGTAATGCATTCATTGCCCAGTTCTATTGAGTACTTGCTGCTGCTTTTAGCTTAAAAATAACTTTATATTCGGTTGAGGTGAATATAATATCCATATGTTTTTCATCAGCATCTTGTCACTGTCACACTGTATGTCATATTTTAAGATTGTTTGATAAAACTGTGGTTTCCATATATATAAATAAATAAATAAATATAATTTACTTTGGCATTACTCTCTAACTACTACGCTACCACCAAAAGTACAGTAACTACAAAAACACAAATATTGTAAGAAAGATATTATGAGAATTATGTCCTAGTAAAATAATAAACCATGGTAACAAATTAATTGCCTAACAAACCTATGACCTTGATGTAAATTACATCTATGCTGTCAAGGATCTGTCAACGAAATACGAATAATATCTTTATTTACTTTAGGATGCTAGAGCAAAGACAGAAAGTACTTTGAATAAGAACGTTTCTTTTAGAACTGAACAGGAAAAAACATCATCGTACAAAAACACATGCAAAAAGTTTGATTATAAAAAAAAATTGTAGCCTATGGCAAAAATGCTTGTGAAAGTCGTTAAAAACAAATCATACAATCTTTGATCAAGAACCATGTGAAATGGTTGAACTAATAAATAATAGTTCTATTTTGCAAACCATATTATCCCCTACATCTTATTGCGATGACACTACTTATGGATTTCATTTTATTACTGGCCGGTATTAGTGGCTAGGCCTACTGGACGCCCCGCTACTGTCCCCGTCTTCAGAGAACGATTTAATTTATGTATGATTTCAAAAAAGCAGCAGCAAACCTCTACAGTATTCCAATGTTAGTAGGTTAGTTCATGCACTCACGCGGATGTGGTCTCTTTACAGTATTCTGACGTCTCCTGGCCTGGACCATCCCATACACGACGGCTGCCAGCGAGGCGTGTTGAGAGGGTGTTCTGGTGAACGCCCCCTGGGCACCTTGACCTCGGCCGACCACGTAGTATGTCTCCATCTCCCCCTTACCCTTGACTGGTACCAGGCCTCGGTACTCCATCTGGTACCCTCTGGCCGTCAGCATCTGTTGGAAAAAATTGGAAGTGGTACAGCAATCTTGAAGATGGTAAAATTTTAGGAGATGTAGAAGGTGAAAAACGTTTGGGAAGTTTTGCTTCAGTACAAGTGGTTACTTAGAACCGTCAATGATTATATTACAGTAATATATTTCAATCAAATTTATTTACCATAGCTGTGGCCTTGGGTATCTGTATTCTGCCCATGGTGCCCGTAGAGTCCATACGAGATGCCTCGTTCACAGTGTTGCCCCAGATATCGTAAACGGGCTTGCGAGCCCCAATAACTCCACCTACTAAGGCCCCGCTGCTGATACCTGTTAGTAATAGTTGAACCATAAATTAACCATTGAAAATTCATTTAAGTATAAAAAAAATACTTACTATAATTTTATTGAAAGATTTTAAAAATGTATAACTGTGTCGTAATTACCATTGGAAAATTTGAAATGTTCCTTACGAAACATCAAAGTGATTAACGTTAATTATCTTAATCATCGTTTTGAAATAGCAAAAAATTTTTATCCGAGAAAATTACAGTCCAGGGGTTGTTGTGGGTGGACAAAAAAGGTCCCTTTGATACATCACCGATATTTCTCCTTTATATTTACTGATGATGAATTATCAGTGGTACGGTGTAAAACATTTTTGGGTATCCCTAAGCCCCTGAATCTATGTTTTTTCTCACATTTTGAATCGTTATGAAAAAAAAAAAAACTACCGTGTACTCAAAAAACATTTGTTCCCTCAAATATTTAATACAGTATTTCATAAAACCTACTTCCTTTGATAAAATAATCCTGCATAAAATACATACAACTTCCTAACTTAACACGTTGTTTTGCTTTTAAATCTTAACAACCATTTACGATTATTGTACAAGGCTTTGCTGATGCATTCATACCTACAAAGATTTAGGTAATGATATATCCTCTTTACACTTGTCTAATATCCCAAACGATTTGCACACCTACCCACACGCAGCTGAAAGTTGTTGAAAGAGTGTTTGTTCAGTTCTTCTAAACACTGTTTCATGGCGATGGCAAAGTCGACCAAAGCGCAAATATGCTCATGGTCGTCTTCATTTCCCTAAGACAAAACAGGTTATGTCTAAATATAATACCAAAATCTATCTATTGTTATGAGGAATTGAGTGCAGGGAGGATGGAATCGTCAGCAAAAGGTTGAAGGTTAATTATTGATGATCCAATAGTTGAAATGGACAAAAGAAGAAGAATTAAATACAAGAATAATTTACGCTGACTCATTTGGATCATACAATATATAGATTTATTAAATTAGGCATGTATATTGTTTGAATTGAAATATAAACAGACTAATTAACTGTTGTTTTAATAGACAATTTTATAATGAAACTTACTTTCTGAGTAGGATTGAGTCCTGATGCAGCCATGTAGCTCGCTCCCACGGTCTTGATCTTTTCAATACATGCAAACCTCGGTTCAGCCAGAAGTTCGTCAAAATCAACTGGAAACAGAGAGAGAGAACTCAAAAAATATATTTGTAACCAGATTAAAACTGTCATTAAATTATAATTTCGAGCGGAAAAGGATGGATAGATTGGGTTTGACCTCTGGAGGTTAGCTGGAACTAATCCAATTTTATTTGAAGTAAGATAGGGTAGGGTAGGGTGATAGAGGAATTGAATAGGGTAGGTACTAGTCCAGGTATTGGTTGTCTGTGTTGACGATATAAATATCTTAAACTATTCATGATAATAGTAAAGCAATTGTGATCTTACAAATTCTGTAATTTTACGCCCTTTCTTGAGTAGCTGCTTCAAAACCTTTAACAAATTATCTGTACTTTAAAGATTTTTGGTAATTTAAATTCAAACGGATAGGCAACATTATTAGTTATAAAAAACATTTCTTCTAAACTTACAGATCGGATAAATCATTTGATTTGAAAAAAAGTTCTTAAGTTGCATTACGTCACCGGTAATTACAATGTAAATCACCAACGTTAACAGATGAGAGATCCACTTTTAAATAAAGCACGAAATAAGCATCTTGCTAGACCACGATAACATAAATAATGTATCTTACCAATGATTTCATTGAGAAGTCGTATGCATTCGATTCCCTTATTTATATCCTCAGAGTAGAACTCGGTGAAGTTTGGTATACTGGCGAACATAACTCCAACATTATCCCTGGATTGGGAGTACAACTCCTGGAAAACCTTTAAATTAGAACAACATAAGGAAATTTTAATCAACTCTGCTTTAAACTTGTGGATAAAATGTTGAAAATCGAACTGAACCACCTATGATAACATAGTGAAACATAACTAAAATATAAGCAAGATATTTCTTTGTGGTTGGAAGAGTGCAGGCTCTGGTCAACAACCCAAAGAAATGGATGGTTGAAATGTCGGCACGGCGGACCACTAATCCATGTGATAAGGCGAGTTCACTTTCACTACCCGTGCTACCACGATTATCAGTGTAGTTTACTCTTGTACTGTAAAGTCTGTCTCCTTATTTTATTGAAGCATTTCAAGTACAGTTCCGATGTGGCAAATGCAAATACAACACTCAACATAAAATTTGTTAGCATGTTTAAAAATAAAGAAAGACGGGAGCGATAAGAATTAGTTGTAGGTGATCAGACTCCTTGGCACTAAGAATTAATCTTTCATTGTTGGCATACAAATATTTTCATCGATTCATCAGTATTAGTAATAGTATTAGTATTAGTAACACCTAAATTAACAACGTAACATAAAATAGCTTGTTGTTTTAGAGAAGATACTCAAGTACCTCAGTCTGTCTATCCTGAATGAGGAAATGGTTAGCGACATGGTCAGGTAGGATGTTGCGTAGAAGTTGACGGTTGTTGCGTCGTGTTTCTCTCATCTCTGATAGTTCTCTTTGCGCCTCACGCTTCCACAGAAAGTCTAGACGGGAGGTGACCTCCACGAGACGAGCGTGGTAGGCAACCAACATGAGGAACACCAGCAATAGCAAGAGCATCTGGTAGGTCAGCGGGATCTTTAACCTTACAAAGATATTAAGTGTTATTGGTCATCTACAAGATTTTTCCATTTCATCACTACTTAAAGAATTTAAAGTAAGACTCAAATAAAGCTTTATTTCGGTTTTAAATACATAAGTAACGTGTTTATTACGCCATCGAACATTGGCTACAAAGCTCTATTTTACATGAAATTTGATTTCATATATAAAAATCACATTTTATATGAAATATATAATGATAAAGAAATATATTTAACATTCTGCATGAGTGGCCTAAGAGTTCCCTATTCAATCCCTAGTTCCTATTCCCTATTCCCTATTTTATCCCTATTTGGTAAAGCAATGTGAAGCAGAGCAGTCAAAATTAGAACAAAATTCTTCTCTACTCAATTTAGACTCATTGTGACTGAAGCAGGCCTTTCTGGTGAGTATTGCACCCAAATACCTCAGATTTATATACCATTCCCCTTTTAAAAATATTCATTCTAGTTCTTTAGGACATGCTTATGAATTGTTTGTCGTTGTTACTAGCCTAGTGGTTAGCGTTCCTGACTTTGGTGCGAGAGGGGTGGCTATAGTCACCAGCGTACTCACACGTATAGACTACTATCCTTAAATAGGAGTTTTATTGACAAATTGCGTGGACACAATAAGAATTGAGTTTAAAGATCGTTGCTTAACATTTCATATATATAAAAATAAGAGCTTACTTTGATTCCGGGTATTCAATGAAGATGCTTGGATACCCAATGATCACCAACAGAGCGTAGAACGTGACCATGAAGAAGGCGAGGAGAGTTTTGATGAGGAAGTAGAGTTTCAGTGTTGTTGCGAGCGCCACAAGACACATGACCCAGGTAAATACAAGATACTCCGGGTGTACGCAGGGTGCTGCAACTGTTGATATCACAGCTGTCTGATTGTTGAAGTCCGCTAGGCTGTTATCACTGATCACCTGAGTTTCATCACTAATCAGCTGTTGTTCTCGAACATACGAACTATCTGAGTTGCTTCTAGTCACTCGATGAGGTTGTTTTAAAACATCCGCACTTTCACCCGTGAACTCCGAGTTCATACTTCTATCTACGTTTACTAATTGAGATCTTTCGTTAAAGGCATTCGTATTGGCCTCCATTGCATTAGATTTAATCATAAACTCTCTTAAAAACCTCATCCTTTTTAAAAGGTACCTGTACTCGTTTTTGTACGACGATGCGTATTTACCACCTGTCCTATTTACACTTTTAAAAGAGGCACTTGAAATGAGATTGTCTTCAAGGGATTGCTCTATGGAACGCACAGGACGAGAAAAAGCTGTTTGTAGTTCAGAGTCTGTTGAACTTTCCACGCTGATCTCACCAAATAAGAACTGAAACAGAAATGCTTACAGTAATAATTTCAAATGTGAAGAGAGTCTATTAAATGTTATACTGTGTAATGAGAGAGATTTGACAATTTGATTCAATTTGAAGTCGTTAGACATTAAAGGGAATAGAGTTAGTCAAAGCTTGTTAGTGGTTACATGTAACATTGGCATAAACACATTTACAAGACCACTAGATATTACTCATAAAAACAAAATTTTAAGATTCGATGTTGCTTAAAACTAAGCAACTTCATACCTCTAGCAAAGGTATTGTCAGTTATGTACCTGGTCCAGCAGTGTATTGGTGTTCCAAGACTTTTTTCTCTTTGTTGAGAAAGATCTATGACTTTTCTAAAATATTTGCCAGAAGAATCTTAAAATTTTACTGCCATATATGATTTTACGGTTTTTTTTTGTACTGTACTGCAATTTATAAATACAATCAATGTTGATAGGTACAGCGGGGTCAGTGCTATAAGAGTTAATAAGACGAGACCATGGTTGTGTTCTGTTTTTTCTACAAGTGCCTTAATTTACGAAAACTCGTCACTTTGCTTCCTTACAAATACACAGGTTAGTTGTCTGAGGACTTAACATTTAATCTATCTAACTCTTACTCACCAAACCGTACGTAGACGCCAAACACATGAGTGTGACCACGATGCAGATGAAGACGGTTCGTCTGTTCCGTTCCTGCACCAGCACTGAGGACATTCTCTGTAGAGGCTGCGGCAGCTGACGGAACTCTTCAGCCATCACCAGCACGAGGGCCAAGGTGAGCGCCATTGTCGTGCCTAGCAGCCCTAACACGAGTAAGACTGACCTGTGGACATCATACGAAATTTTAGTGTGAAAATATGTTGATGTTAAAATATTTCTAAATAAAATACAAAAGTCCTTTACCGCTGACCCTATCATATTAAATAAGATTCAAAAAGTAGCTACAAACCTTTTGAATGGCCAAGTTTTGTTACAACTTAGATATCTTCGAATAAACTAATACAGACGTTAACAAACATCCATCTTATCAAAAGAAAAAAGTCAATAAAATACAATAATGCATTGGTTACCATTGCAAGATGACAAACTGGCAAACGACGATGAATAACCAGATGATGTAGCAGCAGAGCATGTTGGACTTGAACATATCTTCCCTCAGCCGGCAAAACTGCAACACACATACTTCGTTATGTAATTCAAAGAAAAAAGAGAGAAGTAACAAGATACAGTTTTTATAATACTGTATGTGTTGTGTAATATGCTAAACGCCTCAGCAAATCACAACAAATTTCAGTGTTCCCCGAATTAGGAACTACATTTTGTTAACAAAAACATTAGTTGGACACGAAACGAGAACAAACCTTCATCTCCATCTCCGGCTGTTTGAATGTCAGTGTCCAGATGTTGACGTTTTCTCGTCGGATCCGCTGATTGCTCTCTACCTCAATGTTGTGGTCCATGATGACGTCAACCTCCTCTGCGGGGGTGAGGGAGGGAGGAGGCTCAGCCACTGGAACTCCACAATCATCCCCCTCCATCTCCTGACCCCCTGTGCTTAGCTGAATGATAACGTTTATATCAGCAACATTGGTAATAGAATAATGATACAGGTTTGAGTTTAGGCTATCGGTACGTGCACGGTTAGGGGTTTTGAGTATCGAAAGTCTTTTCCTACAACAAATAGATTTTGGAGCAGCTTGAAAATGAAGATTTGAAGAAAAAAGGATTTGTGAAAGGAGGTAAAAGCCCCCATCTCGATTGGTCCACTAGGTACATATACATATACACAATTTTGAGAGTTAAAATATGCAAAGATATATTTCAAAGTTTTTTCTCTTTATAAGCTAAGTTAGGTATTTTTAAAAAGAATTACTCTGCAATACAATTTGAAACGCTAACGTAATTACTTTAAAAGGGGCAAATGCTTACATTTTCAAATGGTATTTCTGGCGTCCATTCGTCATTGAACCCAAGGCTGTTATGGTTACCATGATTTCCATTGCTGTCTGTCTGTTTTATGATGTCATGTCCTGGAAAGAAAAATCGAACTCTTGGATACAAATAACTACACACTGAATACGTCTATAAGTGAACATTCAAACAGGAATATATAAAACATGACAATGTTTATAACTAAGGGAAAAAGTTGTTTCATAGGGAGATAGATCCTCATGAGTAAATGCATATTCCAGGCTACGGTTTTTACACTCCTGTTACTGAAGCTTATTACGTTTGGTGAAACTCATCTTATTGAAACAAAACATAGTTTCTTGAACCTGCCATGTCAGACTCACTGTAAGTATGGGCAGGAGTTGCGTTGGGAGAGTCTCTATTGATGGAGTTGGTCAGTCGCTCCTCCTCAGTCCACAGTCTCGCACGAGACATTCTTGTCATCAAGCGTCTTTTTGGTTTACTCGGCTCCTTCTGTTTGATTAGATACGTTTCTATCTCATGCTCCTGGAAAACAATCAGAGTATCAATACATCAAATCTCACTGGAAATTGGTACTAGGTTAGTATTTATTCAAACTGGTTCGATCTCAATAGATTGTGGTTGATTTTGGTCCTCGATGCCTTTTATCATTTAATTAATTAATTAATTGGGATTTCAACTAACGAAACTATCTTACAAACTATTGACGTTAGTTTTGACATGAGCAGATGTTGAACTGTGTAAATGACGCAAGGTGTTTAAATTTATACAAAAGCACCATGATTACCCTGAATATGCCACAAGGTTACGAAATGCATAGGATTACACAAACATCTTACTTAGAAGAACTCATGAAACAACAATAAAGGTAATTCAAATATAGGTAATTCTTGTTCTTGAAACTGGGACAGCAGAAAATACCTTGAGATAGTTGTCCCTTGTACCACCATGACCAGGTTCCACCTCGTAAGCTCCTTGTAGACACTCCAGTGTGGCTCTGGATATATGAACACGCCTGTGAAAAGATGAACAATGGTCAGTGAAAACCATATTAGAGTATCACTAGATTTTAAATAAACTAGATTATTGTAGTCTACATTGTTGCGAGTTTACGTTAGTTGTGATCATGAACAAAATGTAGTTATTCATCCAATTTAAACTCTTACCCGGGTATCCCTCCAGACTCCATGTGGTTGGCAAGGGTGACATCGTAAGACCAGACGTCAAACTGCCACTTGCGGAGTCCTAGAACTCCACACAGCACCGAGCCTGAATGTATCCCAATCCTCATGTTCAGGTCTACCTGCACAAACTCTCAGTGTTCAACAGACGAAATCATTTAACAGAAGAAACAACCATTATAGTTTCCTTATAAAGATCGACCCATCTTTACGATTAGAAAAGGTCTATTAATACTGAGTTAAGATTTTAGATAAATACATTTACTTCACTTACACAGTAACATACATTATCCAAGTTGGGCAAAATAAACAAATCACATTGTATATTTTCGTGGGTCATTTTCCTTGAACACTTTACTTTCTTATGCTTTACCCAACTCAAGATATTTGCTAATAAATCTTATTGACCAGCACAGGATGTATTTCTAAAATGCCCTGTGCCCTAAGGATTCTTTAAAAGCCTAAAACTACAAGTTATAAAAATATAAGTTCTTTGCCCCTTACCACAGATTTCCTTATCAGAGTAATATTTATTAACCAAGGTCCAAGTTAAGATGTTAAACCATGATAGAATTTATCAACATTTTCAACATATGATTAATTAAAAAGTACTTTAACAAGAATATAAAATCGTGAACGAAATAGATATACTGACATTGAGTTTGTTGCGAACGTCATGGATGGCAGTGATCATGTGTAGGCCCATCTCTACACAGCAATGCGCGTGATCAGTCCTGGGCTTGGGTAGACCAGACACACAGTAGTAGCAGTCTCCCAGCAACTTGATCCTCAGACAATGGTTCTCCTACAAACATCTACCGTACAATCAGTGATCATGTGTAGACCGATCTCTACACAGCAATGCGCGTGATCAGTCCTGGGCTTGGGTAGACCAGACACACAGTAGTAGCAGTCTCCCAGCAACTTGATCCTCAGACAATAGTTCTCCTACAAACATCTACCGTACAATCAGTGATCATGTGTAGACCGATCTCTACACAGCAATGCACGTGATCAGTCCCGGGCTTGGGTAGACCAGACACACAGTAGTAGCAGTCTCCCAGCAACTTGATCCTCAGACAATAGTTCTCCTACAAACATCTACCGTACAATCAGTGATCATGTGTAGACCGATCTCTACACAGCAATGCGCGTGATCAGTCCTGGGCTTGGGTAGACCAGAGACACAGTAGTAGCAGTCTCCCAGCAACTTGATTCTCAGACAATGGTTCTCCTACAAACATCTACCGTACAATCAGTGATCATGTGTAGGCCCATCTCTACACAGCAATGCGCGTGATCAGTCCTGGGCTTGGGTAGACCAGACACACAGTAGTAGCAGTCTCCCAGCAACTTAATCCTCAGACAATAGTTCTCCTACAAACATCTACCGTACAATCAGTGATCATGTGTAGACCGATCTCTACACAGCAATGCGCGTGATCAGTCCTGGGCTTGGGTAGACCAGACACACAGTAGTAGCAGTCTCCCAGCAACATGATCCTCAGACAATGGTTCTCCTACAAACATCTACCGTACAATCAGTGATCATGTGTAGGCCCATCTCTACACAGCAATGCGCGTGATCAGTCCTGGGCTTGGGTAGACCAGACACACAGTAGTAGCAGTCTCCCAGCAACTTGATCCTCAGACAATGGTTCTCCTACAAACATCTACCGTACAATCAGTGATCATGTGTAGGCCCATCTCTACACAGCAATGCGCGTGATCAGTCCTGGGCTTGGGTAGACCAGACACACAGTAGTAGCAGTCTCCCAGCAACTTGATCCTCAGACAATGGTTCTCCTACAAACATCTACCGTACAATCAGTGATCATGTGTAGACCTATCTCTACACATTAATTATCGTGATCAGTCCTGGGCTTGGGTAGACCAGACACACAGTAGTAGCAGTCTCCCAGCATTTTGATCCTCAGACAATGGTTCTCCTACAAACATCTACCGTACAATCAGTGATCATGTGTAGACCCATCTCTACACAGCAATGAGCGTGATCAGTCCTGGGCTTGGGTAGACCAGACACACAGTAGTAGCAGTCTCCCAGCATTTTGATCCTCAGACAATGGTTCTCCTACAAACATCTACCGTACAATCAGTGATCATGTGTAGACCTATCTCTACACATTAATTATCGTGATCAGTCCTGGGCTTGGGTAGACCAGACACACAGTAGTAGCAGTCTCCCAGCAACTTGATCCTCAGACAATGGTTCTCCTACAAACATCTACCGTACAATCAGTGATCATGTGTAGACCTATCTCTCTACACATTAATGATCGTGATCAGTCCTGGGCTTGGGTAGACCAGACACACAGTAGTAGCAGTCTCCCAGCAACTTGATCCTCAGACAATGGTTCTCCTACAAACATCTACCGTAAAATCAGTGATCATGTGTAGACCGATCTCTACACAGCAATTATTGTGATCAGTCCTGGGCTTGGGTAGACCAGACACACAGTAGTAGCAGTATCCCAGACTCTTGATCCTCAGACAATGGTTCTCCTACTAAAATCTACCAAACTCATCTCTATGAAATCTCACATGAAATCAAAAATTTCAATCAATGATCTCAAAAAATCCAGTTTGAGTTTGCCCATAATCAACACATCGGATTAATTCGAGAAAAAAATATATATCGTAAGTTTCCTTTAGCGTTAAAAGGTGTTGAGTAGTACGTAAATAGTTTGATAAATAAGATAAGCAGCACCATTTTAACCCGTAACATTCACAACTAAAAATATTCAAGTAAACATTAAACGCGATTGGCTATTTTCAATACGTTCCATAAACAACCTTAAAGAAATATTAGGCACTTGTTGTCAACAAGGAAGACTTCCGACAGATTGGTTTACCACACAAGCTTAACTATACCAAGTCCAATTACGTTAATGAAGATCATTATGTTGTCAATGAGCAGCCAAGGGGGTTTGATCACCTCATTTGACTGTCAGCTGATGACTTTGCTGATGAGTTAAGCCTTCCTGGCGTGGCATTGACTTGATGGACTCAATGCAAGCGTATTGATCATCAGAGATCAAATACAGACTAATTAGTAACTACGATTAGTTGGCTATCTGTACAGTTACTCCATAACGATTAAAATCATTATGCATAAACGGTAGAGTGAAATAAGGTAAACATTTTTACTTAGACTGAGAATTTCTACTCGTATTTGTTATTGAGTCCTAGAGCAAAGATATAACATTAAGAATATATTTTTACGGATGATTTCCCAGTTTATCGTAGCCTATTGATTTTTGTTCTTGTATTGGTGATTAGGCCTAAGTATTTCTAAGTCTCCGATTAACTAAAGTAAAATTACCTAAGATGAAAACCACTTTACAGGGTTTATGGAATCGCTAAATATTTTAAAACATATTGGTTTCGGTGAAATATATAGATATAAATATATTAAAACAATGCTTACCGCTGCAAGTTTATCGAATTTTGCAAACAGGTCGTTGAGGACTCGAACCAGTTCTTGAGCATTACACTGACTCGCCCACGCTGAAAACACAAGTAAATGTTAAATTTAAAAAAACGCCAGCAATAAGCAGACTATCAAACAAATACAATACCACATAGTGACAAACCACAAGTAAGCCTCTAGTTAAGATATGTCTGAAAACTGTACTTTTACAAACTAAATTGAAAGTGAATGAACAAATTACACGAGTATTTAAAGAGCTGTATATTACTCCTTAGCATTGTAAATTTGATAGTTAATAACTAAAGAAATATTATTATAACAAAATCTTAAAACTTTATCCTCCTAACAATCCAAAACAAACAAATTAAATTTAAAAATACAATTGCTGCGAAAAACTGCATTCGAGACTAAACTATTCAAAAACACTTGTATTATATGATAGGGAAAATACATTTAACAAATCAAGTAAAGTAATTTAAGTTTACATACCTGTAAAACCTTTGATGTCTGCAAAGAGAATACTGACATTCTCATAACAGTGAAGATAGATTCTATGGAACTGCTGTGGAGTAAACTGTCCTTTCTCTGCCTCCGAGGCGATGTCCCGGATCATCTCCTTAGCCACAAAGTCCGGCAGAACTGAAACATTGGCAAAAAATAAGGGAAGTGCAGGATGTGTAAACAGATAGGAATGTGGATTAAGAGGCATGAAAAATTAGAGGTGGATAAAAACCCGTTTGTTAAGTGACAGAAGAGTATGCTACAAAGTATGATAAAAAGGTAGATAATGATATTTACGTGTAAAATATTTCATATGAATTGGACAAAATAAATAAATTAGTATCTTTAATCATAGATAAAACATACTCCCTAACTTTGGTTGGTTAGTCTAGATGGTATAATATGCGGATTCAGAAAACTCCACATGTTTACTCTAAAGAAAGACAAAATGAAAAAAAAACCAATAGCTTAGTGGAAAACAAAGAGTAGATAGTTGCATCAAGATTGAACATCACAGGCATCAATTTACATGTATTACACAAATCAACTGTCAAGTTGTATTGTTTATCTGACAGCCAGTGATGTTAAATTGTTAACAAACTCACTCCAACCTATCTGTGAATGATGTCAAATATACGGCATTTAGTGATTTACATTGATATACATAACATGTTTTCAATATGTTAATATTAAATTACTCTATATTTTAGTGATAAAACTGTACATCATAGACTATGTATGATAAAAATATTCACTATACTTGATCACAAATATATGTAACTTCTTATGGAGCACTTCCTTGTAATCAGAAAGTATTTTATTCTCTTGCATAAATTGAACATTATATCTTAAAATAAGTCAACAAAATTTAAAATTGACATCAACGAAACTTAATCCAATTTTTAAAACATAAAACAGGTTTCAGATATAACAATAGAATAAGAAATGTATTTGATCTATTGAAAGTGAATGGCCAATCAATACCTGAGAGCAGGAGCTTTTCCTGCTGATCATTTTCCTTCTGCGTCCTGTAACGGGTCTCTGTAGACCTGTGGGTCTCCAGGAAGGCCCTTCTCTGTCCACGATCTGTCAGGTACTTGGTGTAAAGCCCAGCAAAGTTGAGGCAAGTGTAGGTGAGCGCTGTGGCTAGTAGTTGGCGTGTCTTGCACCCAGCGTCCTGGAATGAGGATACTATTTGTAGAAACGAGCTTATAAAACTAGATAATTGTAAAGGGTGTCCCAAAAAACGGGGACACTTTTAAAATGTTATTACTCAGCTGTTATAAAGGCTGGAGAGTTCATTGATGCGTTAAATGAATCTTTATTTGATGCCATTTAGTGTATAATTACTATGTATCATCAACGGTTGCCGCAACATCGTGCCTTTGTCCTAGATATTTTTTTTAAGAATAATTTGTCTATCACTTCTACTCAACGTCAATTTCGTGTTCAATTCAACGTTGGCCGTAATGGTGCAACCCCACACCGAAAAACTACTCAAAGATGGGTAAGCACTTTTCTGAACACGGCTTCTGCACTCAAAATCAAATCTAGTGGGAGAGCTCGTACTGATCGAACACCGGAAACATTGGAAAAGGTTCGCGCGAGTGTGCTGCGGGTCATAAATTGCGTCGAGCGTCCTAAGTCATCCGTTTGCAGAACATTGCGTTTTAATTTAAATTTGCATAGGTTAAATTTTGAGTACAGAAGCCGTGCTCAGGAAATTGCTTACCCATCTTTGAGTAGTTTTTTTTTTTTTTTTTTTTTAGTGTGTCACCATTACGCCCAACATTGAAGTGAACACAAAACTGAGTAGAAATGGTGGACACATTACTCTTGAAAAAATTCTCTATGGCAAAAGAAAGATGTTGAGGTAACCATTGATGATCCATGGTAACTATTTACCAAATGGCATCAAATAAACAATCATTTGCCACAACAACGAACTCTCCATCTGTTATAACAGCTGAGTAATAACATTTTAAAATTGTCCCTGTTTTTTTGGGTCACCCCTTACAATCGGTATACTGAATCAAAACTACTGCAAAGCTACAATAAATATTATTACCATTTATGAATCCTTCTGTTTTAGAGAAAGCTGTGTAAATCAACTGGTGAAAGTACTAGCATAGATGAAGTATTAATTATATTAATTCATTTATATGTCCGTTATGGTCCGTTGATGGTTTTAGAAAAAGGACTAATTTCATACGATGAATAGGAAATGAATCTCGATGAAAACAAAAACCAGGGAAATCTGAAAAGCAAGAACCTTTTGGTATACATCAGAAGGCTACCAATACCGAGTAATCTTCATAGTATACAACACCACAATCGAGATGTCCACATATTACGTTTCCGAGATACGTTTGCACTAGATACGTTTGCCCCTCAAGCACAAAGTAGGAGGAAGGAAAATAAAGGTTCTGTTTTATCCAGCTCGATTGAAAAAATCCTCTAAGTTTCTGATACACTTTCAAACATACTCTACACGGTACCATCAAACATATTCCACTAGTATAACCAGGAAAATTATTTAAAGACATCTTAAACTTATAGTGTTTTGTAAAAGAATTTAAAATATTTAAAACATTAATATTATTAATATTAGGCATGTTAATATTTAAAACATGCCTACTTCTAAACGAGATAGTTGCATCGAAATAACGTAATAGTCCACATTTGCTTCCACGATGGATATCCAAACATAATTCCCATATTGATTCCGTGTTTTATGAATTAATATAAATACAAACTATTATGGGTTCTAAAGCAAGTGCGATTAAAAGAGACGGATATTTCCAATAAGTGGAAGTTCCATTGATTCCAATAACTTCTTCTCAGCTTGTCTCCATCCACCAACGCAAATTCTCAACAGTTATTATATCCCTACGTCTTCCAAGTTTCAAAATTAAATTTTTAGTGTAATTATTGTACTATTATTAGTTTAAAGGTGCCTTGAAAGACGCAAAATACTACAATCGTTACATAGAATATTAAAATACAGTTTTAATCAATTAAATAGTTACTTAAACTACAGCTTCGATATGAAAAACACATTCTTGGCCGTATGTTGAGTGAAATAACAAATGGAAAACAGTAAAAATGAAACTGTGTAGGCTAAATCAATATTTTCATCGTCGTTATCATTGTGTTTGATACAACAACGCCATCGCATTGTAGGCCAAACAAAAAATGTTAACTAGCAAAATGGGCTTGGAATATAGGGGATGATTCGTGTCACTTTGTTTTTAAGATAAATTTTTTTTGGATTTATTTACTTAGGAAAATATCTCAATGATCAAGGGCAACTGGAAAAGTTTTGAACCTAAAGGCTACTTACCTTTCATAGACTAACTCAAAACCTTCAATTTACCAGGCAAGCACTAAAACTTTACTACTCAGCTAAAGTATATTTGACTAAACCAGCAATACATTCAAAAAATAACCGCTGAGTTTATAACAACCTCGTAATATTCCTTAGCATATTTTGAATAATGATTTTACTTAACTCCGGAATTCTTTAAAAAAGTACTCAAGTAACTTTAGCTGTCTCTTACCTCATGAGAGGGCACTTTGTAGATGGCACTAACGATGACGTGGACAAATGCCGTTGTACAGCCAGCGACCATGCTCCAACGTAGTGGCAGAGGCAACATGCCGTATGTGACAAACACGATAAACAGCACATACCAAACGAGGTACTCCGACGAACAGAAGCCCAGGCTCTCTCCGACAAACCCTGCAACATGGGCCAACATTGAGCTATGTGACAAACACGATAAACAGCACATACCACACGAGGTACTCCGACGAACAGAAGCCCAGGCTCTCTCCGACAAACCCTGCAACATGGGCCAACATTGAGCTATGTGACAAACACGATAAACAGCACATACCAAACGAGGTACTCCAACGAACAGACAATCTCCGACAAACCCTGCAACATGGGCTAACATTGAACTACCTAATGACAATCACGATAAACAGCACATACCACACGAGGTACTCCGGTGAACAGAAGCCCAGACCCTCTCCGACAAACCCTGCAACATGGACCAACATTGAATCTTTATAGTACAATAGTGATAGAGTAGCAGCTTTACAATAAAGAAATTAAAAAAAAGTTATCACATGGGCTTTTGCCTGTGCGTGATAAGAGTGTTATAATGATGGCACCAGCGACAAAAGCCTCCGAAGAAACATAATAATACTGTTATTATGCCATTTTGCGAGGAAAAATAAAATTTGTGACAGACAGCGTGGTGCTCAGTGCGTTTTCTCAGCCCTTTAAAAGCTAATTCTAATATTGCACATATATTTTTGATTCCGTACACGTCCTTTTCATGTTCGGTTCAGGCTGTTTGTAAACCCACTCACACACATATGGCATATTTGTCCAAAAATTCGACGAACGTGAATGACTAAACCGGATTATTTCAATTGGAACTATGTTACATATATCCCGGTTTGAGCAAGGCATTTTAAGGGATCTACGTATTTCGAACGAAAAAGCATTCTCGTCCCGAATCAACGACTAGCCATGAAGACTATGGTTGTCACTTCCCTATATTAGTTTTCTCTAAAACGATAGAAATGTAGGACATCGCACTAGCCTTTATACGCAAAACTGCCTCGCTTGTGCAAAGCTTACATAATTTATCGATGTTTATTTAATGCAATTGATTGTTCATCGCGAACAAATAGAGCTTCATCACACATCATTTATCTTCTGATCAGCATTATCTCTGACCAGACCATTGTAGGTTGTTTTCACTCTTTTGTTCAAATACAAGTATAAATTTGTGTTAAATTTTAAAACTAAAAAATATAATAAAAAGAATGTAAAAGCCAGACATACTTAACAAAAAAATATGTACAGATGTTAAAAAGCAAAATGGTAGTGAGGGTAAATTCCTAAAGATCGATTATTCAAGTTTTCATTTGAGGATATTGAATTATAAATTATTCAAAGCATTGTGTTAATAAAAAACAAGTAATAAAATCCTAATCAATCATTTGAAGTTTTGTTCGAAATAGGATTCACTATAGATAATTCGAAATAGATCCAGTTTAATTAATCTGACTGTTCAAAATCGAACTTTAAATGAAGAAATTTACTTCCATAAATCACTTAAAGTTGTGAGATTGTGTACGAAGATGAACAATTAACTTTTCATCTTTTAGAGTGTTGCTTTTGTAAGCAGACGAAAACTAAACATTTTTGACTGATGTGTTTTTAATAGTTAAGAACAAATCTCATTTTCTAAGTGATTTCATCAATTCATCACTCCGAGAGTTGAAAAGGGTTTCTAAAACATACATTAATATCAATCAATGGTTTTGCTAAGAGGAAATTATAATTATTAAATTATACCAAAACAAATTAAATTTCTATTCTCGTTTGAAAATGTGATTATAGTTTCAAAATGTATTCTTTGACCACCGTAAACGGTTCGATTGTTCTACAGCATTCGATTACTAGTCCTAAATACAGCGCATTGTATTCAATGCTACTTAGCAGTAAGCCGAAGTACTCTTTCAACACTACGTTATTTAAGTTGGGAATACATCTGGCATGTTTCATCTTAATTAATGTCCAAATGTAAACTCAATTAGGCTGCAGGTTTGCTGTGGTGGGGGTGATATTATTTATTTTGAAAAAATATCTAAGAGTTTTCGCTGCAATTTTTTTCTAATTTAACCTTTAAAACGTAAGTTTAATTTTATCAACTTAATTAAATCATAACTTAAATTACCCCTACGCATCAACCCAAGTATGTAATAACCTACAAACCACCTGTTGCAATACATGTCCAATTACATGTCTGTGTGGACCAATCAAAAGCAATTACCTAACCGCATGGTCAGGTCATGTGGCCAATGAAAAACTCCTACTGTGTTGTGCAAATATACACCATTAAAAGTCAACTCAATTGTCTCTGTATGAGGAGACTAGCGGTGTTATATTATAAAGTTCGTCTAATATTTACAGCAACTGTTATCAATACGGACTTTTTATTGTATCCTCCGATACAAGCAAAGTTAAGTTAAGTTTTGTTAGTTATAGACTAGTTGTAGATATAGTTGTTAAAAATAGGTATACTAAGGTATGATAGAACAAAATGTAAACAAAAAACTTGTGCATTGAAAAATTTCACTATCATATTATATTTTTTTAGATCTATAGTAAAATCGCTTTAATAGACTCTTTAACAGCCGATATGGTTTTTAAATCTTTACTAAGCAAATAAGTTTTTGTCTCTGAAAAAGTAGGGTTAATTAACTATTAAGACCTCTAGCAACTAAAATATATTTTTAAATTGTATCCAAGGTTTTAATGCTTAAAATTAAATACATTTTTTATTTCAATCTAATTTAGTTTAATAATAGGACTACCACTTTTAACCATTTAATTGTATGGCTTTAGTTACTTTTTTTTACAAAAAATTAAATATTTTCTTTTTTAAGTAGAGTAAAACATTTATTTATATAGGTATATAGGTATATATATATATTGAGAAGATGGACTAATTTTCAAAAATAAGATTTTTTAAATCTTCATACCAGCTCAAATTAATATTAATGTTTAAAAAGGAATTATGTAATATGTTAACATCTGCATCCATTTAATATTAAAATAAAATGTATTAAAACATTAAAAATTTAAGATTTAAAAATTTAATCCCAAACCGACGTCGGGAAGAGGCAATATCCAGTAACGTAAAAGTATGGGAGCTTTATCTAATTTTACGCACTACCGACTCTTGGTTTTAGACAACTTTCTGATTTGAAAACTCCTGAAATTCGTACGGCATTTTTGTGTTTTTCTACGTCATCTGCATTTTTAGTCAAATAACTGTCTAATGACTGATCCTGTACCTATATAAAGTCAACCTTATGTTAGCTAGTAGAGTACACCAATCAGTCACCCATACGTTTACTATGCACTTCGGGGTCAAATCAAATCAAATCAAATCAAATTGTTTGTTGAGCCAGAATTAACAATGATAGAGATTTTTTTGAATCGAACAACTGGTCTTCAGATTTGAAGGATAAACACAATTACCAACATTCTTAGAAGAAACTTTAAGTATTTTTTGCCCACATAACATGCCATATACTAAAATAAACAAAGTAATACAAATTAAAATTAAAATATTGCTCATTAATGTGTGCTATTCATAGTACTAAATGTTTTAAATGGTAGAATAGGAAAATGTTTTACCTTGATTTTAATTGTTTTAACTTTAGCGTAAGTTGTTAAAAATGTTGTTATCATTAACATCGAAATTTTGTTTACATCTAGATCTTAAAGTTAGTCTGTAATCATAATTTTGTATTTTTTACATTTTATAAGAAATAATTTTCCAAAACAGTTATAAAGACAAGTGTTACACAAATTTACTTAGAAGAATTCACATAAGCGGCAAGCTTTCCCCATAGTTATATATCACAATTTATGTTTTATATTAAATATATTGCAATTGATATATTAATTTAAAAACATTGGTAAATAAAAAACCATTTTAATATAAAATCCAATTTATTCTTTCTAAAACCACAAAGCATACATAATAATAATAAACATCGATTGGAGCCTAAAAAAACCTTATTGTGTTTTCCGGGTGAAAATAAATTGCGGTTGTTTGCCAACGTTTATTTTCCAACCAACTGAGGAAGCAGCAAGTAAATAATTTCCTAGCTTGTGTCCTGATGTTTTTCTAATGATTGCAAATGGAACTCATTTGCTGAATAAATGAGACCGACCACCGCAAAGGATCTCTTGGACAAGAAATCGTTATTTTTCTGCTGCTATGACGTAATTCCACTGGGAAAAATAAACAAAATTATCTTAAACCTTCTACCAGGCCCTCTCTAGATATGTTAATTTTATAAGATTAACAAGACTTGTGTATGGGTGGTAAAACGTTTAATGTTGTAAATGTTTTTCGAAATATATTTTTCAACATTAAAGAATAAATGCAATACAATTAATGCTGTGTGATAAATTAAAATGGAATATGAAAAATTATGTAATTTAGGTAAAATCTAATAAATTCTGCATCAGAATAAGTATTTTGTTTCCACTATTTTTAACTTGGCTTTTGTAATATCAAAACAATGTAAAAAACAATTGAAGAACTCAGTAATGATATTAATAGTAAAATATCTGTGGAATGTCAACTATGAACATATTCCAAAAGTAGTTAACAAAGTTTCAAACTGGACGATCATTCAGGTTAAAAATTTGCTATAAATATATAACTAGCTGTGTGCCCGTTCTACCACGAGGATCTTGTTGTAGTCAGTTAGTTGACCTACAACCTTTCTTATATTAGGAACACCTTAGCCATTTATATTACATTTTTTTCTTACAAAAATTAGCTTAGAGTCATGAAAAAGTTGTTAATTAGGGAAATAATAAATACATTATTTCAATGTAGTTTATAATTTTATGAAGTCAAAAGTACGTTAAAGTTTATTCAAAAATATAAAACTAAATCTTTGGTCGATGGTAGTTAATAGTTAATCCAAATGTATGTTAAATGAATCCATAATTTGAATTCGCATAATCTTCTTCTTAGAAGATTGTTAAATTTAAATTATTGTGCACGAATACTGTTTATTACAACCGATACTTCAATTGTAATTAAGTTTCTTTAATTTCAACCCGATAAAATTGCTAGTGTTAAAGTTTTAATCAAGGTTAAAGGTATTATATAAAAACCAATTTCCTGTTGAGAATCCATCACTAATTTTATTTATGAATGTAGGCTAACAATGAAATGTAAAAAACAACCTTCTTGTATAACGAGCTAGCAAATCTCTAATGATCATTTCCGGTTCCTGGATGGGGGATGTCACCAAGAAACATTGTATAAGGGAGGGATATTTTCGTTCAGTAAGTATATTGATTATTAATCACTTCAGGTTCGTTGTGGTTTAAACAAATGATATATTTAGATATTGGCATAGAAAGAAGATAAATTTTCCAATCGAAAATGATCATGAAGTAAAAATATGTGTATTTCTTGGAAATAAATATAAAAATGTATAACACACAAGGGGCCAATTTTATCTCCAAGTTATACAAAAATGATATTATAAATTAAACTCATATTTTTACACGAAAATATAAATATCATAACAAATAAATAATACAGACATGTAAATATTTCAATGTCATATCTTGCAATGGTAAACAGAAATGCATTCTCTTCGATTCAAACAACATCATTATAAATTAGCAAAAGTAGAGTAGACGATACTACCAAGTGTTAATCTCTACAGTGTACCTAAACATTAGCAATGAAAAATATTTAGGCAAGTTGGTAAACACAAAATCACTAGCGTTGCCAGGTTAAAGGAATGATGATGAGGAAATATCATAAGTTAAATGTCAAATCAGAAAAGCTTTAGAGAATTAGGCTCAGTGAGATCCTAGAACTCCAAAGATTTGCGGCTTTAATATCAAGTGACTTATTCGTTAATCAGCTTATCTAAAATTTGAAATAATTCTTTTAAAATACAAAGATTTTCTAAAGCATTTGAGGTATTTAATTTTAATAAATTCTTGAGTAAATGATTAAAATCAAAAAGGGGCGATTGCTGTAATCGCAAATAAAAAGAAAACCCGTTGAGTACCTCAATATATTTGTTTAGCACGATTGATTTCACGTGTTCCAACTTGTTTAGATCAACAGATTCTGTAGGATTATGTGCGTAACTGTTACATATTCCAAAACTAATTTATGACTACAATCAGTCCAACCTCCTCAATTTTGTTTATGCACTCATTCAAGTCAACATGGTTAAGTGTCAAAAAAGTATTAGTACGTGCCTACAGTTATACAGTTTTTTTTGTGTCCCATCTTCATTATCCTAGGAAACTAGGGTCTTATTCGGAATTGAACCCATATTAACATAGTATTTAAATATCTGAAATGAATGTATCAGCAATTTTTAATTTAAATTGCAAATGTAATAAAGTAAATAATTTGATCCTTAAATATATTTGAAACAGATGCAAATAAATATTAGCTATACAGTATTTTGAAATACATATATGTATTAAAAGAAAAAAAAAGAAGTTCCCTACTTTTCAACCATAATTTATCGGCAAACTAATACATTGTACTTATGCATTGTTCTGGTAGCACGACAAATAATATTATCTTCCTATTTTGGGGGAAAAATATACTTTTAAATATGTTTATTAAGGCTTGGTTAGCAACAATTACAATTTACTTTAGAGCAATAAATACCACACTGAACGAATAGTGTTAGTTGTACCACTTATACTACTGTTTAAATCAACAAAATGGTTTTATACGTGATATATATTGCATTTCTTACTTCTTGAACAGGTAACAACTTATGGTAGTAAAACCATTTCGTATCCTCCAATGGCAAATGATGATGGTTCTACTTCAGTTATGTTTGAGTAAAATATTGCCTAAATCTATCTATCTATCCATCTATCTATCTATCTATCCATCTATCTATCTATCTATCTATCCATCCATCTATCTATCTATCTATATATTAATTACGTAAGCCGATTCTTTGCGTCAAAATTGTGGGCGACTGGGAAGTCGTAGAAAGACGGGAGAGGGCTCAAATTAAAGGTCCCGACTCCGGGACGGCGGGAAAAATAGTGAAATTCCTTAAATCTTAACACAAAATTAGATATAACTTAAAATGTTCTCCATAAGAATAGCATTAGAAGCCATTTACTGCTGATTTTTGTTTACTTCAATACAGCTGATCGTGATTTATCATTAAGCCAGTAGGCAATATGACATTTGGATTACTAATTTGCCAGTCAATTCTGCGATGTACTGTATACTATATAAAACCAGGGATAACTTTAGGTTGAGGCCTATATATAATAATAAATACTTTTAGTTACGTCTTAGAATGGTGAAATCAATTATTTTACTGTGCAGTTGGCAAACTTGTGTATTTTTAAGTAAATTAGTTAAGCGTATGATAAGTAGTAGAATCATAGGAGATGGCTCTAATCAAAGGAATTAAACTTAGAATGGCTGAAAGAAATTATGAAGTTTGTTTTCTTCTAACTTAACGTTTATTGTTGTGTTGAAGGTATGTTCAACATGAAATTACTACATTGACTAAATAATAATCGATTCAAGATTGTTGAAAACTTCTGCTTTGTTTTGATTTCAAAACATTTGTTAAAGATTTATTCTACACCTTTTTGTATACTTACTAACATTTTTAATTTGAGATTTATTGTAGTGTTTACAAAAGGAGCATGCACTTAGAAATAATAACTGGGTCGGGGTGCTAATTTAGCGGTTTTAACGATGAACTAAGCTTATCTCAACACACCTTTATTTGCTTTTTCATATATGACGAAGACAATTTCCAATATTTTAATCAGGAAAGCCTTTTTATTATCAAAAGACCAAAACTACCTTAGTAAACTAATATCTATTCACAAACATGTTTGCTGCCTTTAGCAGAGTTAAACCTTTGGAGTAATTTAAATTATTTATTAAAAATAACTTCAACAAAAGCAAACAAAGATAAACAACAAACTATTTTTTAAACAAAAGATATGTTGTACTGGGATATATATCTGATATATGTATTAGATTTATTTAAGTTTGTTTATACTGTATTACAATAGTTTGTTTTACATTTGAGCTTTTCATGGACTTATGTCCCTTCAAGCCACTAGTATATTATTATATGTCTAATACATTGGCCAAATAAATTAGAAAGTAAAATAAGCAAATGGAAAAGGAGATAAAATAAGCAAGTAGAAGACCGTAAGTTTCGGAAGCTGACACAATGTTGTCTAATGAGGGAGTTCCGCCCACCAACCCAAATGGCAACTTTCGTTGAAATAATGATAGTCTGTTATTTTACGTCTATGCATTAGTTAATGGCACATATTCCATAGACATATCCACAGTAAATAGCCGCTCGTATCGGATAAAGTAGTTTTTCTTCCTATAACAAATAAAAAAATAAATTAAATGTATATTTAGATAGAACACTAAAAGCTCGTAGAGAGGTGTAGGCTTACATGGTTTTATATAAATACTATTGAGAGGGCTAGTTCCTAGGTTTACGGTTACAGTCAAGGCAGAGGGTTAAAATCACTAGTGTTTGCTTTCCGTAATTAATAGGTTCACTCTTGGAGTATGGAGTAAAAGAATTTGTTGTATTAACACACTTTCCTTAGAAAATTTTAGAGTAATATTACAGACAATTTTCTCCAAAATAATACAGTTAGTATTATCTTAAATATTTTATTTGTTACAATTATTCAGTCACGAGTTAAAAAAATAAAACATAAATAAATCTCATTATTGTGTGATTCTTCTGTTCTTTTCTCTTGTGTTCATTTGAAACTGTATTTGAGACCTTTAAATGAAGCCAAATATCGACTGCATGATGATCTGTAGTTTGTAGATGGTCCAACCTAAGAAGCTAGACTATATTGACAACATAGAAACCAAAGATCACTTCTAGGTACTCAAACCATTTTACGGATTACAAATTGTTGTCACAACATTTTTCAGTTAAAAACACAAATACACGTTTTTGGACCATCGTATGCTTACCTTGTATGTTGAGCAGAGCCCACGTGAAGACTGCGGCCCAGTGAAGGTATTTGTTGGCGAAGCACCTCCACCAGCCCAGCAGACAGACTGCAAGGTTCAGCGTCATCATGAGAGTGGACCAGACAGCTGACTCTAGATCCCGGGGTTGTACGGAACCGTTGAGCACCACCCACAACACTATATAAAAGAAAGAGGACAACTATCAGCTGATTTGTGATATATTAAATATTTTCTACAGCTTTTCGAATTACATCCAATAAGTAGTTTGTTTCCCAGCTTAGGTGATTTTTATGTTAAATTATTTAGACGTTTACATTACCATTAAACCCACATTGTAGCATAGCTACACACACTGTTGTACGTTAGATGGTAGGCCTACATTATTTGTCATAAAATAATGTTTTATTTTGGCCATTTTTTTTATAAAAATTAACCTGGTTGGATTTAGTAACCAACATACTTTTTCCCATTTGCTCGACAACAACTCTAAAGCATGAATAAAATTGGAAATAGTAAAACTGTTTGATATTTTAAAACAGTTCTTCAAAACGTTTTATTATAAAATTATATTTTTGTAGGATTGTTTGATTAAACTTAATAATAATGTTTTAAATATTGTGGTACGACAAAACATACAGATAACAAGGCTCTGACTGATAGTTGAATTTTGCACACTAAAATATAAGGAATTGTTCTCCAAATGTACCTGTTTGTCTTTTACTTTAAAGAACTTTTCTCGTACAACTGTATGAGACATACAACTGTTAACATAAAGTTAACAAACTTTCTGGGGAAAAGGAAGAAAGGACACGAGCGCCATTACTTAAAGTGTCCGTGAGAATAAATCACAAAGCAGACAGAGTTAGTTGTAAAATTAATTACTGAAATTAACGTAATCCTCTTTACAAAGGAAATTCTTTAGAGTTTGTTGTAATGTTGGATAATTATGCGACAACCTGTCTTTTGGATAAAATTGATTACCTCTATAATTTTATCTTAAAGAACCACAGTAGCTTAGAATTACTGTATTCCTTTTGGTAAAATAAAAGGCAAATATTTGTCGATTGTAAAATCGAGCAAAGTATTTATTTTATAGTCAGAAATTTACTGCTTACTTTATTCGGGCGTCTAAAATAGATCAAACTTTTGGGAATCTGTAAATCACCAAATATTAATTATTCTTTTTTAAATTATAAAATGTATTGGATTGAGAAAATGGAAAACAATTAAAATAATGGAATATACTTGCTTATTTGAGGCGAATCTAGGATCAGAGGGTCGTTTCATACAATTAACCACACTAATATGAAAGTATTTACAACAATACACAATCCACCAAGACACGGTAAAACCACCACAGATTAATATAATTTTAACTTAGATCTGCAGGACAAAGATCTACCACCAAATCTGCCGTGTCCCTAATTTTCATAAATATAAATAATAAAATAGCAAAAGATATTTAACTACTCGTAAATGGTATGCTTCGTTTAAAATAGACAGTCTAATTTTCGTATTCAGGAGATGATCTTCAAACTTCTGAAGATTGATAATTTTTACCGCATCTAAAACTTTGGCCAGCAATTTTGCCAACTTAACGAAATATTTATCTCGGAAGATAAGGATTTAAGAATAAATGAAATATCTCAATATTAACTAGATAATAATCTAAAGACAATAATCTCTAAAGGAACTAACCAGCCAAAACTGCCTTCAGCATCATATCCACGAGGTTGACGATGATAAGGCTCTTCTGTCGTTGTCTATGAGAGTATCTCTGATAGCTCAGTTCTAGATGACACTCTCTGAAGCTGTTGGTCAATGAAGGCCAGTAGATACCTTTGTAGAGAAGCCCACGCTTAAACACCAGCTCGCCCTCGTGGTCTGGAACATAGAATCATAACAAATAGAAAAACATAATTCTCAACATATCTCTACAAGTCGTTTGTCTGTAACTGTCTGGAATGACCACCAAGAAGCTCTCTCTCTCTCTCTCTCTCTCTCCCGCTCTCTCTCTCTCTCTACATCAAGAGCTCACCTTCGGGGTCTTGAACATAGAACAACAATAATGGACACAATAACTGACTTGAAGAATCTTTCCAAATATATTTGATTGACAGTAGAGGAAATTAAAGGAAATCTAGCATTACAACAAGCGAAGACTTTGAGGAAAATTAAATGAGTTACCACTCACTTGATGGTTCTAAATTAAATTCAGGGAAAAATTTGTTAATAATATGATGATTTATTATATTGTGCGGTGGCCAATTTTTTATTTAAAAACTGAAGAGGAATCATAAAGGAGAATGTTAAAATGCGTGACAAATATAGAAGAGGAGTGTTGACCTCAAAGGCCATTATGTGAATACCGTCAGGAAATGGGGAGAAATGACGTAACTATTTGTCATTGTCGCTGCTGAAAACGACTTCGTCTCTTTAGATGCTTCATCGATCAATAGTTATACTATTCATTCATTAATACATCCATTTGTTAATGATTGATTCGAATACTTAAGTTATTAAAAACATTCCTCATAGACTTACTTTAAGTTTTTAATTGTTGATTTTAAAAATCAGCTCCTACAACCTAAAACTAATAGTTAGTGTACAGTAGTGTGCAAAATGTAGTAAAATAGTGTATACAGTTTAACCCAAAAATGTAATAAAATATATGTCAAAGATATTATCTGGAAAGTGTACGATTAAAAAGGTTATTTTTTTCTTGGTACTAACAAATAAACTAATATGTATAAAGTGGGATCAATGGGATGGAAATTCCTAGGAATAATTTAAAAGCGATTTCATACATTAAAGCTTTTAGGTGTCGGTAGTTCAGTCTGTGTTAGAGACTAAACCCAAGGCAGTGACGTCGTCGGTTCGCATACCTGTACTACTAAAAGTTTATCAGTGCAATATACAACTGGTTAATAATTTCAAAATGTATTAGTCATTAGTAATTTATTCTTTGGACATAATCTGGTTTTATCCCATGTTTTGCTTATAACATACCTTTTACTGGCGCATGGGATTGGACGAATGCAGAGTTGAAAAGAAGCGCCCAATCTCTTAACATATACAGGGTGTTTTGTACTTGCTTCTTTATTTACGTAAAAAACCTCAATAGATAGAAACATGCAGTTTGCGGGAATCATCTATTTATGTAGAGGCCACAATAATTGACAAGAATTCAACGTTAAGTTTCCATTCTCCCTTTACCTTTAAACACCTTACAATAGATTAATCAAATAATTCTTATCAGTCAATAGATGATTCTCGCAAACTGTATATTTCTATATATATTGCAGTTTTTACATAAATAAAGAAGCAAGTTTCAAAACACCCTGTATAGTGAGACTAAACTAACTAAACTCAAAAGCTACGAGTCTTGTTAACAAGTAAAACAATGTCTAATTCATACTTTTTTATGTTTTTAGTAATGCAAATTGCATACACTGGTATATTGGTATACTAGTAGAGAAGTGCGCAGTGTACTTTGGTACTAAGACCATTACCTACCAATAGACCGGTAATGGAAGGAAATGACGTCACAGCACGTCACCATTGTTGACGTCACTGTGGCTATCTTTGTCTTTGTCTATATTGACATTTGTGGGCGCGCGTTGGAATAATTCGCGCTTTGATAGTCACTCTTAATGGTGGTGATATTTAAGTTACTTCTACCCCAGTGGAAATGAAATGAAAATCAATTCCGCGTTGAAATAGCTTGTTTTGCGTCGTCTTTCTTTTTGATGGACTCAAAGTGATCTGGATTAAATTCAACGACTGATGAAATGTGTAGACGGACGACATTTTGTTTCTAGTGGTTTGTGAACCAGTTTTATTTAAACTTTAGTAGAAGGAAAAACTAGAAATTGACTTATGCGGAATTTTTGCTGCTAGGGAGTGGCTTTAGGGTGATTTTAAGTCTGAATTCTAGTACCTTAAATGTGCCTAGTAACAATCAGTAAAATCATTCACTTTGTAAAGTTTCAAGCATACACTATGGTAATAAGCACTATTTAGATACGTTATGTAAACATATATTTTTTATGTTGCCTTATGTGCTTGAAACACCAACTGAACGTCCTAAACGATATTAAGTATTTACCCTTAGTAAGAGACCAATCGATAAGACTATTCATAATGTAATTGTTTATCATTATCTTAGTCAAAGCTTGTCAACTATAACACTTTATTAAATATTTTTCCGTAAAGTTTCAACAAATATTATTTGAATTGTTGAACTTGTAGTAATCACCTCCTGGTCTTGCAACTATTGACAATAAGGACCAAATTGGAAACTTGCAAGTTTTGTCTCCAAGGTAATAGCCAAGGCACTTCCGAAACTTATTATCACTAAAGTTGGTTACGTGTGGGGAAAGGGGTAGTACTCGAATTTGATCATTGATGGTTGATGGTTTAATCATAACAAAGGTAAAAAAATACTAGGGAATGGATGAAAATATTCGCTTATTTCAATGTAAAATTAGTTGACACAAAAAATTAAAATACAGTTGTCAAGTTATTAATAATTTATTATTCATATATTAATTCGTATTGATACATTATTATGATATTAAATATCAAAATTATCGATAGGTATCTAGACTAAAAACGGACCAGGGAATGACCAATAAAAAGTGTCATAGGACATATTAAATACTATAACATGTTGCACGATAGACAACGTTAAAACAATCGAGGCTAAGTGGTTTTTCCTTTAAATTCCACAAATATTTTTTATAAAAATGGAAGCGTAATAAATATTTTGCCGAATATTATCAGAATGAACCAATAAAAGTGAGTGACCTTCTGAAAATGAAATTAATATGATCATTGGGTATGTCTAGATAGATTTACCAGTAGTTGATACAAAATTGTTGATTTTCTACATGAAACAGCAATACACACACATTGAGAAATGTTCACGTATGAATTTACGTATCAATTTACGTATGAAATATTAAAATTGCCCATAGGTTAAAGGGATAAAGTAATATTATACTTGTATGCCGTGGGCTGTGTTAATAAAATATTGCCAACTTACAATTAATTGTAGTTTTAGAGTGAATATTGAAAAAAACTTATATTGTCAGTTGAAAGGTTAATATGTATTGTAAACAAATTAAATTTAAAAAATACAGCTGGAGGTGTATTGTAAAAAAATGTAAGAAATCGGATCAATAGTTTGATGGTAGTTTGAAATGAAACAAGCATCAAGGGGACTCAACTTAGATCGAACTAGAGATAACTGTGTCCAATTAATCTGTGTCTTAGATGTTGAATCTTGAACTTTGATGGTCAAAGGGAAGTTGTAATGATTTGAGAGCTTTGTGGATTGTTTTCAAAATTGAATTGTCTAAAAGCAAAAACTAAATAATTATGAATTCACGTAGTAGTGGTTAATTATTTTATATTGTTTTACATAATTATGAGACTTTCTTTAGTAATTAAAATAATTAAGAACTAATGCCCAGAAAAACATGAATTCAAATTCGATAAAATGTAATAGTGGTTTCTTGTTAAACTAAAATCATAATCTATTAATTACACTCAACGAAGATAAAACTAGGCTATTGAAAAAAATCCTAAATTTTAGGAAATTATGAAATATTGCACTTTTGTAGATTTTTACAATAGCTGTCTATACAGTGTGTCCTGTAGGTAAGTACAAAGAATTTAGGAATAGATTAAAGTGGTCAAAATAAAACGAAAATCAAGAAATATTTAGATTTTAAAAATACCTCATTATTAAGATATCCACCATTTTGTTTTTGTGTGCTCAAAATTAAACCTAGATATTAACATTTACTTTGTAATTTATATCTCAGAAATTATTTTAGATATATCTATTACATTTTGTGTACATCCTTATCAAGTTGTAATTTATTTCATAAAAAAAATTATTAAACACTCTTTTAGGTTTCAAAATGGCGGTAATTGAATTTGTATAGCTCAAACTGCTAAAATAGTGGTTGATTTTATAAAAGAATGGCATGTACTATATTATTTAGGATTTTAAATTCCCTATTAAACAATACCAAGTCCAAAAAGATCTATGAAAAAATAGCTGTGAATTAAAAATCTTTAGGTGCAAAATGAGGCGAACTGCTTGGCATTATTTTTAGAGCGGAGGCTGGCGTTTACCCCCCTCCCCCCCCCCCCCCGGTGGGAATTTTCGACATATACATTTTTTGGTTTGTATTGACATGTACTTTAAGGTTTTAGGTGTTTGCCACTTGTAAATTACAGCATGTTCCGGAAAACACGAAAATATCATGAATATATATATTTAAAAAAATGGTTTTTCTTTAGCGAGTTCGTTTGGCTCTACAACCTGACCGATTTTCATGATTGAGGTCTCAAATTGAAGGTATTAACGCACAGATTTCACATCAAGCATCGGCATATAGTTGCCTACAGTCCCACTCGGCTTATACGTAAACAACCTTTTTTCCCATGTATTTCTTATGGGAGTTAAATTTGGTTTTTCTTTTCCGAGTTAGTTTGGCGCTTCTACCCACCCGATTTTCATTATTGAGGTCTCAAATTGAAGGTATGCACGGACAGATTTCACATCAAGCATCAGTATATATTTATCGACAGTCCCACTCGGCTTATACGTAAATTAAATTTACCCCCCATGTATTTCTAAAGGGAGTTAAATTTGTTTTTTTTTCTTTTCCGAGTTTCTTTGGCTCTTCTACACGTCCGATCTTCATGATTGAGGTCTTAAATTGGTAGTATGCACACATATATTTCACATCAAGCATCATCGTATATTTATCTACTTTATTACTCAACCGAAAAACATAGGTTTGATATATTTTTTAATTCGTATTTCAATTTAAATTGTGCAGTATTTTACCATTTGTAATTATATA